TGTTTCGAATTCTGGAAGTGGGCTGCTGCGTATTGTGGCGATAGGGGACTCGGAGTCAGGATTCCTGGGTTCTGGCATTGGCTTCTCGTGTGACTTTGAGCAAATCACTTTATTTCTCTCTGCCTCTATTTTCCTGCTCTCTTATGGGAAGGGTGACTAGTGTTTGTAATGTATTTCCGACACCTGGGAGAAAGGTGCCGGCAAGCAGACAGCATTACGTTACTACAGAATAAAGTTAAAGCAGGTGACCCTTACTGTCCGTGACACTGGAGGAAAACGACTGCAAGATGATAGCTCTGTAGGGCCATTGACACATGGCTGAGCCATTCTGAGCCCACCCTGTAGAGGGCGCTGCACATGCACACTATGCACACATAAAGCGAAGTCAATTAGCAACACTCACTGCAGAATGAGGCCGATCTCCACTGCCCTATCTGGATACCCCTGGCCTGGCAGGCTGTCACGTAGGCACTGATTGCACTGCAGAGAGCGTCACGGTGACCCTTGTACTGGCAGGTATCAAAGACGCAGTCGTCAAAGAAGGGGGCTGGGTCGATGACCTCATGGCACTCTCTGAATGGCCCATCCCCTCTTGTGATGATCCCGCAGTACCGATCTCCCTTGTAGGGTTGTCTCTGAGCCTCACTGCAGACTGGGCAGTCCTTGGTGCAACTGGGCAAGCATCCAGAGACCTCCCCCACCTTCCAGCTCTCTGCAAATTGGATGGCGTTGGCTGCCCGGCTCCCGTCCCTCATGGTCAGGTCATCACTGGCAGTTTGGTTGTTGTTGCCACAGAGGCCGCAGAGGGCATTGGTGTAGGTGTTGGGAACAGTGACCCGGACCACGCTGCTCCCGTCGAAGGTCATCCTCAGGTCGAAGGCGGTCTTGATGACCATGTGGGATCCACTGACATAGGCCTGTAGCTTCTCCTCATGGTAGAACGGCAGGTCCATGAAGACTCCATCCACCTGGAACAGATGTGGTAGGACTGGGGCTTAATTTTGAATGAACACTGCAAGCAGAGAGTGGGGATCCAGAACACCTGGGTTTTATCCCTGGCTCTGCAAGGGGCATGGGGTCTAGTCTTGAAAGAATGTAGAAGGATAGAATCATAGAGTATCAGGGTTGGAAGGTACCTCAGGAGGTCATCTAGTCCAACCCCCTGCTCAAAGCAGGACCAATCCCCAGACAGATTTTTGCCCCAGATCCCTAAATGGCCCCCTCAAGGATTGAACTCACAACCCTGAGCTATCCCTCATCCAGTCCATAAAGATGCTATCCGTGTAGAAAAGATGTGTCAGGGATGGTCAAGGTCTGAATTCTCAGTTACAGTAAGTCCCTTTCACACCTCTTGGGCAGTATAAGTGCAATTTATTTCAACTTTGGCTGGCAGAGCAGTGTAAAGGGCCTTAGCACAACACAAGTCAGGGTCAAGTACCTTAGCAGAGGAAGCTTTTACGGCTGTTGATTCCCCTGGAGTCAATGGGACCAGATATCAAAGTGGCATGAATCGGCCATAGCTCCATCGGAGTCAATTGCGCCCAATCCCCAGCTAAATGAGTAAGTTGTTTGAGTGCAGAGGAGTTACAATGGCATAACTGCACTTATGGGGAGGAGAAAATCATTCATTATGTATTCACAAAGGGGCACTCAGTTACTTCCCATACACCCACCAGCTCAGTGTACAATGGACGCAGGACTTGGTTCTACAGTGGGGACTGAAATCAGGGGCAACTTATCAAGAGCAAGAGTTCCTGCTCACAGCTCCCCGAGTAGCCCTGTGGCTCTCCATCCCTACCTTGATCTTGCGGGGATATTGCTGGCTGACAGTGATGTTTCTGCCGTAGACCTCCAAGGTCACCGTTTTGGTGTAGGACACGGCCTTGCTGCCGCGGTTGTTATTCTCCACCTTGACGTTGAACGGGGTGAGCGTGGGGTCCTTGGAGCAGACCCCAGCCAGCTGGTAGATGCAGGTGCCCATGAAATCGTACTTTTTCCCATCGAAGGTGGTGTAGTGAGGGTCCCCGGAGGCTGTGCACGTGGAGTAGCTGATTGCGTGGCAGTTGCGGACCCCGTTGATCACGGCGCATCTCTGGCTGGCCTTGCAGCTGGTCTCCTGGCAAATCACCATGCCCAGGCTGGGGTCACACCTGCACCGAGAGCGGCAGTTCTCATCAGCCCAGAACTCCTCGTTGGGTTTGTAGTAGCGGCCATTGTAGTCACAGCCACAACTCCCCACGGGGACGCACTGGCCGGCACTCAGGACATAACCATTGTTACACTGGCAGGTCTCCACGCAGGGCTCCCGGCAGGAGGAGGGGGCAGTTCGGTCAGAGCAGCTGGCTGGGCAGGCGTTCCCACAGGCCTCATAGTGGCTGTTCTCAGGGCAGGGCAGGACTGGGAGGGGGCCAGAGAGGGGGAGATTTAACAACACTGGAAATGAACTAAAAACACCTGCTTAGATGCAGCAAGAGCTAGAGACAAATTCTAATGTGCAATCAGCATCCTCTATATCACAGGCCGATGTACAAGCAGCCACACTAAGGCCACCTCTGGAGCACAGCACGGGGAACAGCCCCACTGGGCAAGGGTGTTTGCTAGCTGGGAGAGCAGGGAAATCCTCTCTTCTTATAGAAAATCCAAGAAGATCTGCAAAGTGCACCCAGAACAGACTAGACCTCACTTGTCAAGGCCTCATCTGGAAGCCCCAACCACGCCAGATGGCCTAGGACTCTGCACCTGTGCCATTGAAGTCGAGTGGTTAACTACATCCTGTATTTCCAGGTAGTATTTCAGATGGGTCTCACCTTTCCATCTCTTTCTGATTAATCCCTCTCTTCCATCCAATCCACCCACCAAATCCATCCCTCTCTTCTGCTCCTCAGTTACATCCCTTTTACACAATATTGACAACCCCTTATTTGAAGTCATTCATTTTCACAACCTCCTTACATTTACTGGTAAGAGCAAAAAATATATTGATGAATACAATGATACAGCTACATAACTGGAATGTGGATGTGTTTCCAAAGGTTGGCCGAGAATACTTGACCGTGAAGCGTTAGGATGCACAGGGAGAGGAGAAAGTGAGATTTTCTTTACGTTTGATTGTAATAAAATGCTCAATGCCTCCCAAGACCCCTTAATTGTCTTTGGTGACTTCTGCTGAACGGTAGGGGTGTGTCGTGACTCATTGGTTGAGGAACACTTCTCTAAAGCATTCAATCCATCCATTAAAAAAAAATCCATTTATCTAATCCAGTGGTCCCCAACCTTTTTCGTCTGGCGGGCACCAGATGACGCGCCACGGAGGACCGTGGCGGTGGACGAACATCCCGAAATGCCGCCGACAAGCAGCATCATCCAGAGGCGTCGCCGCCGAAATGTTGCCGAAGATTGGTGGCATTTCGGTGGCAACGCCTCTGGATGACGCTGCTTGTCGGTGGCATTTCGGCGGATGCTCATCCGCCGGCCAGTACGCGGGTGCACGTAGACGCCCCGGTTCTCGCCACGGCGCCCGCAGGCACCGCATTGGGGACCACTGATCTAATCCATCCATATAATCCAATAAATCATGAAATCCACTGCCTCAAAGACTATCTGCCTATCTTAGTTAATTATATAGCACGCATTACTATACTATCTGAACATCTCACAATATGTAATATATTTACCCTTCCTCCTCCTTGTGAGAGAGAGCAGTGCTATTATCCCCATTGTACACATGGAAACAGAAGAAGTGACCTGTCAAAAGTCACACAGGAAGCAGCTGGAAGAACAGGGATTGGAACCGTGGTCTTCTAAGTGTAGCTACATTTACAGAGTCTAATACCAGAAGGCACTATTGTGATCATCTTGCCCTGTATACCACAGGCCAGAGAACATCCCCAAAATAAACCCTACAGCAAATCTGTTAAAAAAAAAATCCAATCTTGATTTAAAAATTGTCAGTGATGGAGCATCCACCATGCGCCTTATCAAGTTGTTCCAATAGTCAATTACTCTCACTGTTAAAAATTTACTCCTTATTTCCTGTCTGAATTTGTCTAGCTTCACCTTCCAGCTATCGGGGGGTGTTATAACGTCATCTCCTAGACTGAAGTGCCCATTATTAAATATTAGTTCGCCATTTAGATACTTATAGACTGTGATCAAGTCAGCCCTTAACCACTGCTAAGCTTAATCACTATAAAGCAGGTTTTCTGATCCTTTAATCATTCTCGTGGCTCTTCTCTGACCCTCTCCAATTTATCAACATCCTTCTTGAACTGTGGGCACCAGAACTGGACACAGGAATCCAGCAGCAATCACACCAATGCCAAATCTAGAGGTAAAATTACTTCTCTGCTCCTACTCATGATTCCCTTCTTTATGTATCCCAGGGTTGCATTAGTTCTTTTGGCCACAGCATCACACTGGGAGCTCACGTTCAGCTGATTATCCACTATGACCCCCACATTTTTTCGACAGTCACTGCTTCCCAGGATCAAGTCCCCCTCCTGTAAGTCTGGCCTACACTTCTTGTTCCTAGATTTATATATTTACATTTAGCTGTATTAAAACACATATAATTAGTTTGCACCGAGTTTACCAAGCAATCCAGATTGCTCTGAATTGGTGACCTGTTCTCTTCTTTATTTACCACTCCCCCAACTTTTGTGTCTTCTGCAAACTTGATCAGTGATGAGTTGATGTTTTCTTCTGGGCAGGGGCGTGCACAGGAATTTAGATTCCAGCATTTTTGGAGGGGCAAGTTCTGTGCCTCTGCCGGGGTCCCAGGGACAGAGGAACTGTCAGCTCCCATCAGGGTTCCAGCCCTGGAGGAGCTAGCGTGCTCACCCTGTCAGAGCCCTAGGACTGGAGGAGCTCGCGTGCCAACCCTGCCAGAACCCTGGGGGCTGGAGGAGCTCGCGCCCTTCCTGCTGGGGCCCCTGGGCGGTCCAAGGAGCTCTGTGCCACCTGCAAATTATTGGGGGGCCCATGCCCCTGGTTGCCCCCCCTTTGCACCCTCCTGCATCTGGGTCATTGATAAAATGGTAATTAGCAATCCCTCTGGAAACACACCTGCTCAGCAGTGTTCCCTCTCATTTTTCCCACCATGTGTGGAATGAATCACCTCCATATTGGTGCACACACCAAAATTCATGTTGCAGGGGTGGGCCCGAGGGGTTTGGAGTGTGGGAGGAGCCTCAGGGCTGGGACAGAGGGTTGGGGTGTGGGGTGGTGAGGGCTCTGGGATGGGGCCAGGGATGGAGGGGTTTGGGGTGTGGGAGGGGCCTCGAGGGCTGGGGCAGGAGGGTTGGAGGTGTGGGGGG